GTATTAGTGGCATAACCGCCTTTCTTGGGGTGAAATGATAAAAAAAAACTTGCTGAGCTGACCTTAGTTACAGTTTCTGGGAGAAAGCTCATAATCTGGCGTGATCATTTTTTTTTTTAACAAGACCAGTATGCTGAAACACTCGGTCACGATGACTGGTAACTTCGTTCGAGCACAACCACCTGAACGGTTCCATCTACACAGTTTCACTCACAAGGCTTGGGTCAACCCATGAGGTATGGTTTTCAGGCACATTGCAGAAGTACCGCGCGCTGGGATCGCTTCCCCAGAACGATGACATTAGGAATTCATCTACTGGAAAAAAATGAACATGATGAGATTCGATCCCTGGTTTTCTGGTAAGAGAGCGAAGTGATAACCGCTCGGCGCTCATATAGCAACAAAATAACAGATTTTCGGAAATGATTGAAGCCGAGAACGTTTCAACTTTGTGTGTATATGTGTGTGTGTGTGTGTGTGTGTTTGTGTGTGTGTGTGTGTGTGTGCTTTGTCGTCTTGTCGGAAAGAATTGCTTCAAGAATATGACCGTGAAATCGATCCAAATGCGCTTTGGTCTGATTGGTGGATAAAATGATGATGTCATAAATCTACATTCAGCCTTCTGTTAAGGAATGATTAAAAAAAAAAAGAAAAAAAGACGCCTTATGTGACACTTCAGTTGTTTGACATATTTCTGTACACCAGATGTCATTTGCTCATTTTGGAGACGAGACAAATCACAATAATGCTTCCTGCTTGTCAAGCGAAAGAAACTGACGATGGCAAAACACTATGTTGAAACCTGATCTTTACCAAGAGAATGATAAATATTTTCTTTCTTTTCTCTTCTTTTTCTTGTTTCTTTGCTTGCTTGTTTCTTTCTTTCTGCTTGTCGGGTGGCTTTTCGCTGGCTGAGTGTAAGCAGTCTCTAAAACATGTAGTGCGATAATTTTAAATTTTCGATTTCACTTTCATCCCTACTATATTATGAAACACAACAGAAAACAGAATTAAATGAACGAATAAGTTAAAAGACGAATAGAAAGAATCTGTCTTTCCATGCAAAATCCTTTTTTTTCCTTTGCTGGAAGGAGAGAAGGCTTTGTTAGTTTTCAATTTATAAAAATATTCATTTTTTTTTAATCGCAAGAAATTTGCAACAATAGTGTTGATACTTAAAATAGATTTAATTGAAAAAAGATACTATCGATTAAAACGAAGAAAGTAAAATAAACCAATGGACAAAAGACCATGTCAAAAGGTTCACAGAACAGAATTATAACTTCTTGGTCTTGATTTTGATGATTTAAACTTTGACACGTGCCATTGTTGCGTGTGCACGTGTATATAAGAATTCAGTCAGATGGAGTATGTATGAGATAAAGCTACAAGTATAGGGCACTCACTGAGAATAAGACATCACATCAGTAATAATATGCGACTAGCCAGCTTGCCAGTTCATCGACAAAATGTCTTTTATGTATCTATCTCAGAGTATATCTATCTATCTATCTATCTATCTATCTATCTATCTATCTATCTATCTCAGATTATATATATCTATCTCAGATTATATATATCTATCTATCTCAGATTATACCTATCTAGCTCAGATGATATCTATCTCAGATTATACCTATCTCAGATTATACCTATCTCAGATGATATCTATCTCAGATGATATCTATCTCAGATGATATCTATCTATCTATCTATCTATCTATCTATCTATCTATCTATCTATCTATCTATCTATCTATCTCAGATTATATCTATCTATCTGTCTATCTATCTCAGATTATATCTATCTATCTGTCTATCTATCTCAGATTATATCTATCTATTTCAGATTATATCTATCTATCTATGTATCATTCGCAGACTCTATCGATCTATATATCTATCTCGGATTCTATCTATCTACATAGTCATCCGAAAGTTTTTTCATCCCCTACCAAAAAAATTAATGAGAACAATAGAAGAACAAGTAATAGACTAATACAAAGCACATGTACTATCACACATCAAGAAGATCTGTATGAACGACCATCATTTTCGTGGCACAAAACGGTGCGGTGCCATGTCCTGTGTGATAGTTTGCAAAGTTGTGCTTTGTTGATTGTTGTAAAGTCTCTCCGAACGACGTCCTTCTGCTGATGGGTATTTTGGTACCGTTTATGTGAAACTCTCTCCTTGATAATACTCCACAGAGCGTTGTCGCAAGTCGTGAGGTCTGGACTTCTGGGAAGGCCAATCGACAGGTGCTGGAAGATCTTCGCGCCGTCCATCTATCCCGAAAAATTTAATTTTTTATTCGCTGACAGTGATAGCATAGTGGAGTGGGGCACCATCTTGTTGGAACCAACACTCATTCATGTCAACATTCAACCTCTTGAGCTGATGAACAAACTACTCCGTTAACATAACCAGGTAAGAATGCTGGTTAACATAGACCTCGAAGACATAGGGTCCTATCAAGTGTTTACTCGATATGGCGGCCCAAATCGTTACATGTAGTAGGTTTTACTCCACTTCTTCGTAATAGTGAGGATTTTCTTTGCTCTAGAAATAAATGTTCCTCGCCTGCCCACTCCAGTAAATTTCACATTCATTGGAGAAAAATACCTTTCCACGTTTTGGGATTATTTACATTATTCGGACTGATATCCTCATTGTCATATTCACAACGTTTCGGCCGTTGTACGCTCCGGCCTTTATGTCAATGTCTCTCTTTATATCTGTCTATATCTCTGAGATGAGGTACTATGATTATTTGCATTATTTACATTATTCGGACTGGTATCCTCATCTTCTTTGTTATATTCACTACGTTTCGGCCGTTGTAACTCTCCACATGCCATACGTCTTTTGTCCATGTCGTTATCGCTTAGTTTGTTGACGAACGATTTAAAATCAAGATCTTTTGTCATATGTGTTAGCAATGTGGTTTTGGGAATTCCTAGCTCGGGGGACCATTTTCGTAGTGACTTCTAGGGTGATCGTAGCATCGATGCCTCCATCTTTGCACATGTGTCGCTTCGCATTGAGGGTCGTCCTGTCCTCGGTTTGTCCTTAATTGATCCCGTGAGGAACAGTTCATGTTTTCATCTCAGTATCGTTCTCTTCGGAGGAGCTGATTTACCGAATCTTGCAGCGGAGTCATGTCGCATATCCGCCATGCCCTTGCCAGAATGCACACGATCGTGGGTCCGTACACTTGCAAGCAGTCTCTCTTTCAAACAGTAGGAGCTCATCTCAGCCACATGAAATATAAAATTATATTACGTCGGAAGTGACAAGTCTTTCGGGCCACGCTGTATCTATCTATCTATCTATCTATCTATCTATCTATCTATCTATCTATCTCAGACGATATCTATCTATCTAGCTATCTATCTATCTATCTATCTATCTATCTATCTATCTATCTATCTATCTCAGACGATATCTATCTATCTATCTCAGACGATATCTATCTATCTAGCTATCTATCTATCAGAAGATATCTATCTGTCTATCTATCTATCTCAGACGATATCTATCTATCTATCTATCTATCTATCTATCTATCTATCTATCTATCTATCTATCTGTTTGTCTGCCTGTCTGCTTTGTATACTAATGCTGTTGTATCAGAAATACTGTTGATAGATTCTGGGTAGTAAGCACTGGCCCTGTCGATTATTATAGTTGATGATTGACAATATAACTTTGTTAGAAAAAAGTAAAAAGTAGAAAAAGCAAAATCACGCTGCTGAAACTAGCCCTTTTGGGGCCTTCAACCTCATCGGGGATTCCTACGTACTGCACCAGCAAGCAGTTACGCCATGTATATTATTAGTTGATGGCTGACATTGTAACACCAGTAAAAAAAAATGGCGGATGGCCATAAAACATTGCTGAAAAAGTCCAAAAAGGGCCCCCAAAAACGCGCCCCCACCTCGGTTTGGATTAACCCTCGCCGAACCCACCTGAATTATCCGAAAAGGAAATGCTTGTGCGGCTTGAGCAATACCTGCATATCCACGTGCGGTTTCCATGTTAATCGTGACATCGTGTCAAATTAACTATCGTGGGTGGGGAAGGAAAAGATAAATACCAGCAATTATTTCGCAGCGACTTGACCCTTAGGCGGCTGCTTGGTAACGAAAGAGACAAATCCAACCCTTCCTATCATTAAAGAGAAAAAGAAAAAAAATGCCGCCGACCTAATTATCACCTTGATTGAACTAATTAGTCAATTAATTATGTGCTTCTTTTTATTCTATCCCCATTTTGTCCAAGACAAGAATAAAAACGAAACAATTAATTACATTTCTCTTTGATTAGAATTCTATTATTAACTCAGGCGATGTAGAATTAGTCAAATATCCACACGGCGGAAGAATTAAAATCAAACTTAATAAAACGCATGGCCAGCCTCGTGACTAAACTAGTTGTGTATTTTATATTAATTGGTAAGGTATGAAAAGAGTTACTTATCTTGCAAATTAATATAAACGCAACCTCAACTTTTCCCTTCGTTATTTCAACCGATTTAACCTCATACCAGACTAATGGTATTAAGAACGGTGCTATTAGCCGTTTCCTTATAAGGAAACATTCGGCATTCATTGACCAAGCAGTCAGTGCTTCCACTGGTTGAAATTTATAATTTTTTTCTATTAAAACAATTTTTCCGGAAAATAGGTTTGTCTAATCCAGTCGCTGTTATTGCTCTTTCCATTTGCTTGATTTATTCGATTTTTTTACGTCTTATCAACCCTTTTCAGGTTATTGAAAGCCAGAAAATATTTTTAGATTGTAAGAATTGTATTTGAAATAATAATTATTTAATAGTGCATCTCTTATTAATTAACCTATAGCTGGAGGAAGGGGATGTGGAGTCAAACCTTTACCCAAGGGTATTTGCGCGTAACGAAGCCAGCGTGGATAAAACAACACGGCTCTCCGATTAACAATTCCGAGCCTTTATCTATTACACCACCCGCATATCCATG